TAGGGTGCAGGGTGCAGCCAGATCTGCCTGCGTGAGGCTTGCAGGGAGGGAGGGAGATGGGCCAAGGCAGCACTGTGCATGGTTTGGAGACAGCATTGACCACGCCACGGGCCTGGTGGGGCCCCACAGCCTTCTCTTGCACCAAGGATCTGGGGTGCCCCATAATGGTGAGGAAGAACAGCCTGTGTGAGATGCCCATGGGATCACAGCATGGGCTTTGGATGGCTGAAGGACAAGAGGTTGGATTCACCTGCATCAGACTATGGATGCTGGATGAAGAGGCTGTTTCTCCTCCAGGAGCTCAGGAACCTTTGCAAAGGACAAATCGATGTAGGGCTTCCTCCAGATACAGACAAGACGCTGAGGCCTTGACAGCTTCATTATGGGAGGCTGCTGGTCATGGCTGTTGGAGGGATGGGGTGATTTGTGTTGCTCTATCAGTGGCTTTTGTCACACAGTGGTGCTCAGGGCATTGCCACCGCCTTGGGAAGGACACAGCAGAGACATACGGTGTCCTGCGTGATGGCAGGAGACAGCCCATGAGCCCAGCGTGGGAGCACCCAGGTCCCCTCTGCCCCCATGGGGACTCCAGAGCAGTGGCTCCTGCTGCGGGCAGTGGTGACAAGGGGACATGGTCCTTGCCAAGCGCTGAGCTTCTGGCTGGGACAGCAGTGCCTGGGCAGGAGACACCGTTTGCAGATGCCTTTGCTGCCCTGGTGAGGGGCTTCAGACCATGCAGCTTGAGCTGCTGATAGGGGGAAGGCTTCGCATCCCTGCAGCAGGGAAGGAGGAGGGACCCTCCAGTGCTCCCAGAGCAGGCTGGTAACCCTGGAGATGACTCTGCACTCACCCAGAAGAGAGGGGCTTTGTGCTGCAGCCCCTCTGTGAACACTGGTGCAGTCAGGGCTGTGCTCAACGGCTGTCTCTGTTCGCTGAAAAATGCCTGGCTTTGGCTTGCTGCCTCTGCAGACCCTTGTTCCTCCTGTGCGGTGGTGCGTGAAGGAAGGAGAAGCAAGAGGCGGTGTTGGGATACAGATGGGATGTGATGGGATGGGGGGTCTGCAGGGAGGACAACCCAGCTGGGCTGCAGAGCCAAAGGTGACAGGGACATGGTGCTGCAGCTTTCTGGCTTGCTGACACTGAGAGTGCTCTGCTGGGGCTGGCATCCCCCCTGGTTTGTGTTGTGTGTCCGTCCAGAGAGGAGGTCACCCAAAAGCTGGGCCCAGGCTGAGCATCACTTCAGGTGGGAGAGGCAGGTGTGATTGTGTACATGCAGTGCTCATACAGGTCAAAAGGTATGTGTTTGTAGCCCTGCAGCCTCTGGATTTGTCCCAGGATAGTGCCTTTCTGGCTGGGACACAGCTCCTGCACAGCAGAACATCCCTCTGGGATGAGGGTGAACGCAGAGATGCTACTGTGGAGGAGAGAAACACGGACACCACCAGAGCTGGGAGAAGGCTGACAAAACACAGGTTTGCTCCATCACTGCCAAAGCCCCTCTGACTCCTTAAACAAAAATGCCAATGGCAGCACAGAGCAGCTACCCTGGGAGCCTCCAGCTGGGTGGGTGGATTAGGAGGATCTTGCAGCATTATCACCAGGGATCATCTCTGCCCTAACGAGGCTAACGGGATTAGCCTGGCAGAGCATGGGGACAGCCAGGGAAGCTGTGGAAGCAGCATGAGACCCTGTCAGGAGCAGCAGCAGCACAGTGCAGTGGGTGACATGGAAGAATGGTTCAACTTAAATCTAACAAAAAAGAGAGCTAAAGGCTCAAGCTGTGCTGGTCAGGATGCAGCAGGAGCTGGAGGGCTGTGTTCCTCCACACAGTTGCCTTTGCACCATGGCTGTGCCACTGGAGGTGATGATCTTGGATGTGGCTTGTGTTAGATTCGTTTCCTTCAGGCATGAGCAAGCCTCAGCGTGGGCCAACCTTGAGCCAAAAGCTGTGGATGCTGACGATGCTAATGGACAATGAAAGAAGCCTCTTGTTCAGAAGCAGAGGGGAGCAGGGGAGGATGGAGAGCAGTGCTGTGGGTGCTGCTGCCTTCCCATTGCCTCAGCTCTCCCCTCACCCTTCCATGTACCTGCACTTGTCGCATAAATAACACACTCTCTGAACCTCTCTCTAGAGCTTTGGTGTTGCATTTCCTGGTTTATGCGTCTTCTCTCTGCAGTGGCAGAGGTGTTGCCCTCCCCTCCCAGTGTTTTGCTTAATAACACGCTGGAAGTATAACATGGGACCTCCAGAGTCGAGCACCGGGACCTGCTCTCGCTTAAACTGAGTGAGCAGCAATCCTTCCTTTTGCTGTTATAGCTCAGAATTGCCCCTGGATTATCCAGCCTGATCTATGTGTTATGAATCCAAAGGAAGACGAAGGAACACACACCTGTGTACTGTGGGCAGGGTGTGGGCTGGTGGCTGCACAAATAGGATGCTTGTCACAGCAGTTTGTAGGTCCTGAATCATTTGTCCTCCCACAGCAGCCGAACACTGCATGGAGGTGTGCGCAGGACCTGTGGAAACTGCATCCAATTGTCAAACTTGGTTGTTTTAGTTCATTTTGGTCTTAAGTGCAGGTTGAATCCTAACTTAGCCTGAGCAGATAATGGCACCCGTCTTGGAAGCACACAGGATTTAGTAGCTGTGAACAAAGGCACTGCTGTTTTGGCTTTTGGGGTTTTGGTTTCTTTTAGCAGAATGTTGAAATCTACTCTTTAGAAAATATGCTTACCCTAAAGAGGAGTTAGCTATACGGGAACCCCTTTTTCTCTCTCTTCAAATGGCTTTAAAAGGCATTTCTGGGCCCATGGGGATAAGCTTCGCTGGCTCAGCATCCTCCCCGGCTCGTCATTGCACCAAGAGAGGATGGGGAGAGACTGAAAGTAACTGAGTAGCTCAGGGGGTCAAAGAAAGAGGGTGGAATGCTGATGTGGAGAGAGCAAAAGCTCATGAAGACCTGAAAGAACACAGCAGGTTCTGCTGAGGTTGTTTGAAAACCCCACTAATTATCTACTCATGGGTCTAGATACAGAAATAGATCCTAAATCATTTGTCCCAAAGGGATCCTGCTCAAAGAGAGTCCCTGCTCCTCCCCAAAAACTGCTTGTCAGATCCCATGTTGGGAGCCTTCCTATCCAGTTCCTAAAATTCTGCCAAAGGGGTGCCTATCTCCCTGGAAAACCCGTGGAAAGCTGGTCCCGAGTGCTGCTGCTGGGGGGCAGGTACCTGTGCTGTGTGTGGCATTACCCAGTGTCCCACCTCTTAATCTGCACCCAGCTGATGCCATCATTTGCCCTCTCGAAATCAACCTCCCACTAAAACCTCGAACACCAGCTGAGGCTGTTGAAACTCCAGGACTGGAGTCGATACAATCAATATTTCTGCAGGTTGATGGAGTTTCTCTTCCCAACACCAAACTGATGGAGCAGTAAACAAACAGCCAGCTAAAATCAACCCTCCTGCTCCACGGGAATGGGGTTCACCACCAGCACCTCCTGCTATCAACGGGGAGGGGGTAATCAGGCCATTTGATGCCAACCACTGTAGTGTTTTTCCCCTCCTTGCTCTAATCTCTCTGGCAGCAGTTGAGCACAAGCCAGTGCCCCAAGACTCCGGCTCTGCTTCGCAAGCACTTTGGGACGTCTCTCGTTTGCAGAGCACATATTTGTTATGCAATGAACACCAGGAATTAATGATCCACAGCAGGGCTGGGGAAACTTGCGTGGTAAGCACCCAAGGAAAAAATAACTTTTCTGTTTTTAAAGCCATTGATGGAGCCATTAGAACCCGTGTTTTCCTGCAGCGAGGCCGGCCCAGCCCCCCAGCACTGCTGAGCCGGAGCAGGGCGAGTGCCACCATCCCTCTCCCAACTCCTTCCCTTCAGAGGAGCAATGTTCCTGCCGCTCCCATTATGAATCATGAGGTTAGCAGCTTTTGACAGATCATAAATCAGTGCTTCGAAGTCGCTGGGACAAATCCCAGGACATTTAATCTTTAATATTAGACGTGTTTAAGGCAGTGAATATTTCATGAAGGTGCTGTTGCATTTTAACACATCATTAGCTGTCTCTTCCCCCACTCCCCCCTTCTTTTCTTCTTTTGCTGCCTCCCCATTTCCAGGCATCTCTTCCTTAAAAATCTCAGCAGTTGAACCCCTGTCTCGCTCCCTCCTGACAGTAAAGCTCTTTACTGTAATCCCTGCGAGGCATTTTAAGAACTTGGTTAGGATCCTGATGAACACACAGGTACCTGCCAGTCTGCATTACCACCGTTGTAGGGGTCCCCCCCCCCATCTTCTCCACGTCCCCATCATTGCTGCTGGTGTTTACAGCTCAGCCTGCTGCACCATCAGGCACGATGGGGAGAGGAGGGGAGGGGGGAAAAAACACCAGCAGCAGCTTGTAACAGAAACTCCACGTACAAATCCAATTAATCTTTTGATTTTGCTGTTTCTTGCTCCGGGTTATGTATTTCTACGGAACATGGAATCAATTTGGGCCAAGCACGATGGGGTTTCTGGTGGGGAAATGTCTTCTCTTGCTGTCAATAGGGTGTAACAGGGTGAGCAGCACTCAGTGGTGGGGAGTGGGGTTGAGAACCCCCCAGCTGCAGGATGGGGTCATTGTGTGGGTGCTGCCCACGG